CATAACGCTCCAAAACTATAATGCTAGGCCTGTAAGTGATATAATTGATTGGGCCTAGATAAGCACTATGGTATGGGCTGAGAGCTTTCAGGGCCTAGTTAAAGGCTTGGCCTGCAATAACTTGTTCAATAAGTCAAATATGAACTAGCCTACAGAAGTATAGAACAAAACAAGGCAATTGTATTATCCGGGTCAAAACCGACCCGATTGAATCCATATGCTAGACTGCTGCTATTGTGCAAAGATGAGATGAAGAAATTCTTCCATCCAAAAATCAGAGAACAGGAGGGATGAGTCGTGCTACGGTAATGGCGAAAATGGGAGGAACGGGGAGAGCACTGCTGGGATACACTTTCATTCTTCCTTCCACACCCAAACGCCTCTCTTTTCCCACCCACTTTTACTCTCTCCCCTTAAACCCCCACAGGGTTTTGCAGAGGTTTAGCCCGCTCTGCTCCTCCGCCACTTTCACCGCCGACGAGGATGTATTGCAGCCGGTAAGGCACGGGCTTTTATTGGAAAAGCTCAGACTGCGGCACCTCAAAGACTCCTCAAAAGCAGGTGGCACAGCACCAGTGGGTAAGTTGAAGGAGGCGAAGGGGAATGGATACGGGGAGCTGGCAGGGAGAAGCGGGAAGAATAAGGCGGTGGAGGCTTCGAGTTTTGAGGAGTTGGGGTTGAGTGAGGAGGTTATGGGAGCTTTGGAAGAAATGAACATTTCTTTGCCCACTGAGATTCAGGCTATTGGGATTCCCGCTGTGCTTCGTGGGAAAAGTGTGGTGTTAGGCTCGCACACTGGCTCTGGAAAGACTCTTGCTTACTTGTTGCCTATTGTTCAAGTAATGTTTCTATTTTTTATTCTTTCTTTTATGTTTTTCACTTCAATCACTTGAATTCTCTTCTTTTTTGAGTTTTGGTTAAGTTAGTCTATTGGTATTTCTACTTTTTTTTTGTGAAGACATGCCATAATTGGGTTGTCATCAAATAACATGAAACAATTATAATTAAGAAAACTGCATTGCACTTCGCCAACGTGTAGTTTCAAAGACTTTAAGAGTTGAAGTTAAGTGATCATCCTGGTATTAGAGATTTACAATGATGTTTGCATTTGCTATTGTGTAGGCCATATCAGCGTGATGCTTACTACTTACTAGAAAAAGAAATAATATTTAATCTTTTTGCTACTTTTAGTTGTTGAGAAGAGATGAGGAGTTATATGGTATCCTAATGAAACCCAGACGCCCTCGAGCTGTTGTTTTGTGCCCAACACGGGAGCTATGCGAGCAGGTTTGTTCAGCTTGATGTAAATTTAGAATTTTCAAGAACACAACAACTGCTTTCAAGAACTAAAATCCATGCTTGAGGCTGCAGGTTTTCCGGGTGGCAAAGTCCATTAGTCATCATGCACGGTTCAGGTCTACCATGGTAAGTGGTGGTGGGCGTTTAAGGCCTCAAGAAGATTCCTTGAATTCCCCAATTGACATGGTTGTGGGAACCCCGGGCAGAGTTCTTCAACATATTGAGGAGGGGAACTTGGTTTATGGTGACATCAGATACGTGGTAATTATATATCTGTATTTCTTTGTGTGCTGGTGTTTTCCTCCTTTCTCTAGTTACTCTGAACTTTGCATACTCACTCTAAAAGTTTTCTCCATGCATGCTTGCTAAATTAGGAATTACTTAATTTCTTCTTTACAACACTTTCTGATGATGGCAACATAATTAGGTGCTGGATGAGGCTGACACTATGTTTGATCGTGGCTTTGGTCCTGACATTCGCAAGTTTCTGAGACCATTGAAAACTCGTGCTGCTAAAGTTGATGATCAAGGATTTCAAACTGTTTTGGTAACTGCAACAATGACAAAGGTATGCTTAATTCAATTACAACATTTTTATTTCTAGGGCTTATCAATAACAAAGTATGGAGTACTTAATGGCTCAATCACATGACAAATAAAAATCAAGGAAAGCTACCTACTTTTGGAGGTTAAAAGCAAATATTGTCACTTCGATTATCCAATAAGAGAATAATGAAATTTAATGTAATTTTCTCTACATTATACATAGTTTCAGAGATGTTTCTCACTTCTTTAGAGACTCTATGTATGTTTAGACTGCAGTAAATAGATGGGAAGTTTTTCTTTTGCTCTATAATTGCTTTATAGGCTAGAAGAATGGACATGCAAAAGAAGTAGGGGTAAATGGAAGGAGTCAGACATTTTGGGATTTTAAGAAAGACTTGAGTTTCTTTATACTGTTCACTCTATTTATATAAGGTCCCAAAACCATTAGGTTTTTCGGGTTCATAGACTTGTATCTGGATTCTGTTTTGGTACTTAGTAGTTAGTACTTGCAGAAGTTAGAATTTGATTTTCTATTCTATTGAGTAATTGGATAATGTGAAATTTAAATTTGCAGGCAGTGCAAAAGCTGGTTGATGAGGAATTCCAAGGCATTGAACATTTGCGTACTTCTTCATTTCATAAAAAGATTGCTTCTGCTCGGCATGATTTCATCAGACTTTCTGGCTCAGAGAACAAGTTGGAGGCATTACTGCAGGTCTATTTCATGCGCGCGTGTGTGTGTGTGTGTGTGTGTGCACATGCATATATACCCCTTAAGTCATAGCCAAAATATTTAAAGTAGTTGGTATAAAATATAGTATCAGTGTCACTGAAGCATTCTTTCATGTGGATATTTATTCATGTGTTTATATATGTTGATAGCCTGATTACAGTTTAAATCACTTGTGAAAGAAATGTATGTTCATTGCCTAACTAATATTGCATTTTGAATCAAGAATTTTGTTTCTTTGAAACTACTATAATGGAGATTCACAATGTTTCTTTGATTTCTTGTTTTGTAGTTGGGTAATCATGCATAGGTAGGGTTTATCTGACGCTCTGTTTACAATTTTGTTACAGGTACTTGAGCCAAGTTTATCCAAGGGAAACAGAGTAATGGTCTTCTGCAACACATTGAACTCTAGTCGTGCTGTGGACCATTTTCTGACTGAAAATCAAATCTCAACTGTCAACTACCATGGAGAAGTTCCAGCAGAACAAAGGTGAGACAAAACCACTTGCTACGTGCCCTACGGGTCTGGAAGATGTGGTTGATAACACTACTTGCAGATCCCGTGTAGTATGATGTCTGCCTGTCTATTATGATTTCTATTTCCTTTGGATTCCTTTCTTTTTTATCCTTTTTATCTAAAGAATAATTAGTTTCCAATTCATTGCTTGGCATTAGCATGTATATAATCTGGGACGCCTCTCGTCAAGAGGCTTAACAAATACCACATTTGTGCTTTTGCCACAATAAATATCCATCCAAAACACAGAAACGAAGTATGCAACTGATCACTGTGGTGAAAGTTCAAGAAAGAGGAATGGTTATATATATTGTTAATCCTTGTGATTTAACCGGCTTATTTTATGGCTTTGAGTTTCTCTTAGCATGCACTCCATATCTTTGAGTTCTGCATAATAATGTGGTTGTATTGTAGGGTTGAAAACCTCGAAAAATTTAAGCGTGATGATGGAGACTGCCCTACCCTGGTCTGCACAGACTTGGCTGCTAGGGGATTAGACCTAGATGTGGATCATGTCATCATGTTTGATTTCCCTTCAAACTCTGTAAGCATGATGAGATTTATCTAGTTTATTACTCTTCATTTGTTTCTTTCACATTTCCATACATTTTTTTCTGCTGCAAGTAAAGCCTAACTCCCATTGCATTTGGCTATCTCAGATTGATTACCTCCACCGCACAGGAAGAACTGCTCGCATGGGTGCCAAAGGTATGTGTCTTCTAGATTCCTGATTAAGAACACACACACACACACCGTATATCTTTTATTATGTAAACTTTTGCATCTTCCCTTCTAATTGGTTTTTATATGAATGCTGCTTTTTCTAAACGACAATTTGGAATTTTATGGACAGAATATATTTCAATTTTTGCCCCGTGTTTGATAATTGCAAATTTTGAACTCAAATACTTTTCTATTATAACAGGGAAGGTAACTAGCTTGGTGGCTAAAAGGGATTTGCTTTTGGCAACTAAGATTGAAGAGGCATTAAAGAAGAATGAGAGCTTAGAGTCTCTATCCGTTGACAGTATTAAACGGGATAATGCCAGATCCCATATAACGGAGCAGAAGGAGAAGAAGGAAAAGTTAGTTAAAGCTTCAAATGCAAAAAATAAGAAACAATCTTCCTCAACCAAATTACCTAGTACCAGTGGTAAAGGAATAGCTGTAAAAAATTCTTCAAAGGCAATATCTCGGAAAGCATCAACTCCATTGAAGCCAAAAAATGTCTTCAAAGTGTCAAAGACATCAAGTGGGAAGCCAAAAAATGTAATCAAAGTGTCAAACACATCAAGTGGGAAGCCAAAAAATGTAACCAAAGTGTCAAAGACATCAAGTGGGAAGAAACAGTCAACCCCGTCAAGGCCAAAAACTGTAATAAAACTGTCCAAGACCCCAAGCGGGAAGACACAATCAGAGAGCCAGAAGCCCGGTTCAAAACTAAATGTTGTTGGATTCAGGGGTCGGAGTTCGTTGTCAAGTTCAAAGGTTGCTTGATGTATCTAGCTTTTTGGTCTTGATTCTTGACAATGGTCATAGGATACATTCTCTTTCTCCACTTTACACCTTATATATATTATTAATGGTTAAGGTTCATCTGTTTCAAAATTGATTCCCTTGATCTCATTTTTTGATTTTTCACTGTTATAGATTAGAATACCACTTTAGAGCTGCAACATAACAGGGTCATGAAGATCCATTCTGTACAGAAACAACTAAACAGATTCCACTGACAGCTTAACATTCCAATTGAAAAAGAAATACATTCTGGACTGGTTTTTGGTTGCTCCTTGATTAACAGGAAATACACAGAAGCTGTTTGATACACTTATTGATAACTATCAAACTTACAGCAATCTGTTCTTGGGGGAGGAAAGAACTGGCTTCTGAGATTCAGATTTCGCATCACTTCCATGGGAGAGCAAGGGGAGCTTTTGCAGGGGCAACAATGTTCCCTGCAGTGTCATATATTATGACACCAGAGAAATCAGGGAGCTGACACTTTGCTCCCATGAAGATGTTTTTCTTCCAGACTGATGACACTTCACCACTGTAAGTGCTTTGATCAGCATTCCCAACATGGAAGCCCTGAATCTCTACCGGGGCGAGTTGAATCACGGGATCTTTCTCTCTATTATAGCCGTAGCATCCTAGCCATTTGCCCCATTTTCGCGAGAAGTTTGATAGAGACAAGCGCTTCCGCTCCATGAAGGATATCGGGGAAGATTGCTGAATGTTTGCAGTTTAGCAGAAGCAGTATGGGTGGTTTATATAAGTGGAGTGGTGCTATTGAAGTTGTTGAGTTTGGAAGATTGGTTATGCTAATTAAATGATACAATATTTGAATTGGTTTGTTGGGCACTTGTCTGGGTGGTTTTGGTGGCCTTTAATTGCTTATTGCCGGCTGTAGAGATTGGAGTCTTGGGGTCAAATCGTTATGAAAGCAAAACAACTCTTTAACTGATCCATAATAAAATAGAAGACTTAGGTTAGTTGTTGGAACCTTGCCCACAAACCAAGCCTCCACACGGACCACACTCCAACCCGATAAGATGGTGGAAAGATAAACCATAGTGACTCAACGATTGTTTAAGTAAGAGCATCCTTACTAGTGATTTATTTGAAGTTTATATCAGAGAAAGAACTTGAGAATGATTTCTTGTACTGATGTGATGAAGAAATATTAGAGAAATATAACTCCTGCAAGAAAGAGATATTGCACAGCAAAGCCACGTCGGGTCGGGCGCGCCTGACAGTTACTTTAATTTTTAATTTTTAATTTTTAAATATGTTTTGATTTTTTTTCTTCTTTTTTCTCTTCCTTACAACATTCCCTTTCTTAATCACACTTACAAAAACTCTTTAAAAACAACAAAATATCTCATCTATTATGAATGCTCTAAGAGAACTAATATTTGGTACCTACAATTTACCACATGAGTACTAACTGAATATTAACTTGAGTACTTGGATTAACCTTTTGTCTTATAGAAGCTAATAACAATTAGGAAAATACTATTTAAACTAACTTTATTTATCAAATATTTTACTGAAGTAATGTGACAAACAGCACAATTAATCATGAATAAGTCGGTTTTACTGTATCTGCTAAATCCTATGTCATATGGTCAAACATGTTTTATTTTAATACATAATGTATATTATTTTAACACATAAAATACATTATTTTAACTTATAATATACATTATTTTAATTCATAAAATTTAACAATGTTATTTTAGATCATGATCCACACAGCTAAGTCAACCAGAAGTTTGGACCTGAGCCTTCATCCCATAGAAGGCCCAATTAGAAAGGAATATTACAAGTTACAACCTTTGCAGAATGGCAGAATCTATCTATCAAAGGGTTTCAAGGTTTGGCCAACGTCTGCTCTCTCCGTCTCCAACTCTCCATATCACTCCACAATGTATCGACGCTCGCCAAATTCGCTCTATCACTCGATTCTCAGGCGCCCTTTTGAGAAATTAACAAAACCCAATTCTCCGTTCCCGTCGAAATCCTTCTCCAAACTGCCGGGCGTTTCAGAGCCGAACCCATTCTTGAAACCCTCGAGGACCATTGCTTTTCTTCATCCGGCGAGCTTGAACACGTTGACCCACTTCAAGATTTTCCACAATCTGCGGCTATACAGTGTGGAGACCGACAGAGAAGTCGACAAGATCAACCTCAAGTTCGCAGAAGCTAGGGAGGAGATAGAATCGGCAATGGAATCTAAAGAAACTGTGTATTTCGACGAGGAAGCTGAATGTGCACGCGCCGCCGTCAAGGAAGTTCTGGGCTTGTACGACGGCCTATTGGCGAAGCTGAATGAGAACGAAAAAGGGGTTATACAGCGATCCATGGGGCTCAAGATTGAGCAGTTAAAGGCTGAGCTTGAACAGTTGAATGAATGAATGAATGATTTACTAAGGTTTTTTTTTTTTCGTTTCTTTGAGGTTTCATTACAATTTAGGATTATTATGTATTTTTATTTAATTCAGAATTGGCGAAAAAAATGATTTTAGCAGTGATCTTCCATGGCCATTGCCTTTGAGTTTACACTAATGTAATAATTTCTTCCATAATGTGTAAGAGATGATTTTCAGAACTGAATCCTTTGACTAATGCAATAATCTCTTCCACATTATGAGAATAACCCGAGATTAGTTTTATAATTATTATAAAATTGTAAATTTACATTTTTATAAAATTGACCTCCATTTTTTCCCTTAATTTTCAACAATCCTCAATCATTCGATCAGATTAGTCTTGGAACATGTTCTCACTTGAACCCTTCCGCCCCAAACCATCTTAAAAGAAAATGGTCTTTCTATACAGAGAACAATTTGTCTCAAAATAACAATGCACCTGTGATCTGAAATGTGATATAACAAAGCAGAATGCTTAAAGCAACATTTTGTATTCAAGGGTTTTCTTTATTCCAGAAGTAGAACTGTCTAAAATCTCAATGTTTCTCTAAAATTAATAAATACTAATACTGTTTTCAACAAATAAATACTAATACTATGCCAATGCTGAGGGAAATCATTTGTACATTTCTGGCTTCAAAACCCCAACATAAGGTAAGTTCCGGTACAGTTCTGCAAAATCCAATCCATAGCCCACTACGAAGTAATCTGGGCACTGCGATGAAATAAAACAAAGACTGATGAGCCACCTATGTTCAAGTTCAATTGTCACAAAAATTACACCGATTTTTATGATTGAAAACAAATGCTTGGTTCCAAAATATTGCATAAACATTCCAATGGATGTTGGAGTTTAATGATGTTTTGCCAAAGACAGCCAGTCAGAAACCAATAATCAACTTCTACCTCTCAAAGCATACTGCAGTGCTCAGTATCACTACTTGAGGATAACTTGAAATTTTTTTAAGAAAGAAAACCAAACCTCAATCTTTCAATCCAAATCCAATAAACCAAGACATTAGACACACAGAAATTTCATCTTGGATGCAAAATGGTCATAGTATTCAGTAGGCTCGATATAATATAGAGACTGTATCACTGTAGCGTACCTCAAACAAAACTCAAATAAATGGAAAACAGCAGGGAACTAAGGGAAGGGGAGAGATTGTCAACTAAAACAATGATGTTCGGTCAGTGGTGCTTTCTGACCTTTTCTAATAACAGCATGTGAAGACAAAACAGCAGTATCCAGCATATCATAGCATATAGTTCATATATAAACAAAGAGTCAAATACTAATAGTGTATCAACAGTAAGCATACATTACTAGTCAACCATTTCATCTTGGACGCAAAATGCATAGCTCACTGTAAGATAGAGAGAGAAGGGTACCTCAAAACCTCGATAAAACTTTCCATCACCCACGAGCTCAAAATTGACTTTACGCCTAGATGGCTTATCAAGAAGAGTACAGACAGATATGGAAGATGCTCCTTTTGATTTCAAGTGTTCAATGAGACGGCATAAAGTGTTTCCAGTATCCACAATGTCCTCCACCTGTGTGAACCGATGGGAAATTTGTACATTACAAGATGGATAGTGGGCAACTTAAATGTCTGAGAGAATGAAAGTGACAGCCTGATAATATGCTACATTTCTATGGAGTAAATGTGTAGATAAACGAAATTTAACTGAAATTATTTTTAATTTAATTTGTTATAATGTTGAATTTATTATTAACATGTAAAATACATATATTTAGAAATTATTAGGTTAGAATCACTATTAAATGCAAAAAGAAAATAAGAAAAAAAAAGGAGAGAGTTTGTTATTCAATGAATAGTAATATAACAAGTAAAATGGGATGGCTTTATAGTTTATATCATGGGAGACCAACCTAGCATCTTTGACATTCAAATTTTCAATTTGAGCTCTCAACAAACAAAATCATAGCATTGCATTCAAAAGCAAAACAATGTATACAACACTCAACACTACATTTTGACTTCAAACGTTTGTAAATCTGGAAAACAAGTAATAGCTTACCAAAATCACATGCTTTCCTCGGACATCAATTTTCAAGTCGCAAGAAATCTTAGGCTTGCCGCTGGAGACTGTGCCGGAACCGTAGGACTCGACACGAATAACGTCGACGGTGATAGGGAGGTTGATTTTCCTGACAAGATCAGCTAGAAAGAGGAAGGCTCCAGTAGCGACACCGACGACGACCGGGGCGGAAGGCAGAGCGGCGCCGGCGGTGGTGCCATTGACGGTGAAGTCGCGGGTGATCTCGGAGGCGAGTTGAGAAACTCGGTCGGATATTTGTTGGTCAGTCCAGAGGACTCTCTCAATGTGATCCTCAAAAATGAAGGCCATGAAATTTGGGAATGGGATTTTGGTGCGATGAAGTTAGGGTAGGGTTTAAGAGTTATTACCGACGCAGTAGAGGTCTAAGGGGAGTGGAATATATATTTCCTTAAATAAAAATGGTCAAATTAGGAGAAATTCATGGTTGGAAGAAATTGCAATTCCCTCTAACTAAATAATAGAATTGTAAATTTTGAAAAATTCATAGTTGGAGGGAATTGTTGCAATTCTCTCCAATAAATTATAAATTTCATGAAATTTGATAAGAATTTAATTGTAATTTTGTCCTACCAAATGTTCCTAAGGGGCAATAGGGTTCCAATTCATGAACTAATGGGGTATTTGGTTGGCATGAACTGTAATTCAATTACAATAAAATTTAACAAATGTGAAAATTACAGTTTGATTTGAGAGAATTGCAATTTACTCAATTCAATTAATTGTAATTCATACCTCCCCTATATGAATTATTGCAATTCATTGTGGAAAGGGAAAAAAGAATAACATTTTTATCCTTGATTATTATTATTATTACAAAAATGCATTTTAATCTTTATATCATATATTCTTGTTCCCATTCTCAATAATTCAAATCTCCTTATCAAACAATGTAATTTGAATTCTTACTTTATTCTCATTTAATTCTTTTTCCCTGAATTACCATTCTTTTCCGCCTAATTTTCTACTCCCAACCATAGGTCTTCAATTATTTTATTATTATTATTACCAATTTTAACCAAAGTGGACCATAAATAGTTAGGGCTTAGGATCATATAAATCCTTATTGCAAACTAGAACCAAACATTAACAGGGTGTTTGGTTGGAAGGAATGAATTAGGGGGAAGTTTGGTTGGAAGGAATGAATTAGGGAGAAAGTTTGGTTAGAAAGAAGAAATTAAGAGGGAAATAAATTGTGATTCGGTGGAAAAAGAATAGTGGGAATAAAGTACGAATTGAAAGGTAATAAGTGATTGAAATACCCTTATATACTAATAATAATAATAAAAACAAAAAAAAAAACAAAAAAACAAATTTAACCAAAAGTTATGCTTTGCCATTTGCCATATACACAATATACTTCAATGGGTTACTGCATCTTTTGCTTAATTTTATGCATGGTCCTTCTCCCTACAAATCTACCATCGTCGGCAGAAACAGAGAGCAGAGATAGAGAATGAGATGTTGGAGCCTGGAGGGCAGTGAGACAACTGCATTATTAGAGGCTTCTTTTCTCCCTTTTAAGCACCGAATTGTAATCCTTGAGAGGAAAACATGAATTGTAATTCAACAAAAAGAGAGAATTACAATTCCCTCCAACCAAACAATGTAATTTCAGCTAAATATCTAAAATGGTCCCTCGACTATAGCTAAATTCACAAATTGGTCCTCAACTTTCAATTTCAACCAAATTAAGTCCTTAACTTTGTAATTTTAACACAATTTGGTCCTCTGTCTATTTGACCGTTTGTTGACTGTGATTTTTGATGATATATATGCAATTTCATTGTCCATCATCGATTTTTTAAGGTTCTAAGGTTCCAAACCGCATTGTTACATTTGAATCCACGCCGAAAACAATCGGTCGTCTTTCTTCATCCTCCCTACGAAAAAGACACGTGTTTCTGAACCAGTGCAACGTCATCCTGAAGACCTCCACGTGCTCCGACGAGATCGTCAATCACAGTGTAAAACAGGCCATAAAGCAGTTTTGGTTCACATAATAATAGTACGTCCAAGCTAAACTACTAGATTCGGCATGTGGTCAAAGTGTAGACTATATATTGTTATAAAATTTGCACATGTTTGATAAGTAATTTTTTTTTTTTTTTTAAATTCCGATTTGTGAACTTTAAATTTTTATAAGAGTTAATACCCAAAATAGTCCCTCGACTATGTCGTAATTACCAATTTGGTCCTCGACTATCATTCTTACCCAATTAAGTCCTCAACTATACAATTTTTACCCAATTTAGTCTTTTGTCAATTTGACTGTTTGTTGACTGTCAAAAGTGGAAATAAAGTTGTAATTTTACAAGTTTTCTCCTTCCTCCTCATTTAGCAGCGCCAAACCATGTAGCAATAAGCTCCGGTTGGGTTCTAAACCTGTCAGTATCGAAGTAGTGGTTATGCATCGGATAGCCCATGAATTTGATTTCCAACGATTTTTTGACGATCGAAATCTGATCGGAGTGTATTGCTGCATGGTTTGGCGCTGCTAAATGGAGAGGAAGGAGAAATCTTGTAAAATTATAATTTTATCCCGACTTTTGACAGTCAACAAACAGTCAAATTAATACAGAGGACTAAATTGGGTAAGAATTGTATAGTTGAGGACTAAATTGGGTAAGAATTGTATAGTTGAGGACTTAATTGAGTAAAAGTTACATAGTTGAGGACTTAATTGGGTAAGAATAGTAGTTGAGGACCAAATTGGTAATTATGGCATAGTCGAGGGACCATTTTGGGTATTAACTCTTTTTATAATTTAATCTAATTATAATCGTTACTGCAAAGAAAAATAAAGAAAGATGGATATATATACTAGCAAATATACTAGCAAATATTCAATAAATAAACAATATCCAATAAGATCTAAACCCTGGCCTAAAAACCAAAATCAGTCTACTGTTGAATGAACTAATGAGTCTTCTAAGTTCTAGCGGTGGCGGCTCTCGTCAAGGGGAAGCCAGTATCGGTTGTAAATCCAAGTGGCATCGCCGGCGACGGCTGCATCGTCCTGGTTTCGGTGCCACGTGTAATACGCATGACTCCGGTTCTTTATCTCCAAAACCGCATGCCCAAAACTCGCTTCCCGGTAAGCCGAGTAGTCCGGTTGGGGCATTGAAAAGCTGCATTATATTATTCATATATATAATGTTAATTAATTCTAAAACTAAATTAGAAATTAATAAAATTTTAAAAACTATAAATGCTTAATTAATTACTTGTCTGCAATGCCTTCAATATTTCCACCATCACCAATGGTAATGTACATTGGAGCACTAAGATCCCTTACTGGGTAACTCTTCCCATTTGTAATGTTATATGCTATGTTAGATACTCTTTCCTGCCACCAAAAAAAAAAAAAAAAAAAAAAAAAAAAAAAAAAAAAATCAACATTATACCCGGATGATTAACCCCGTCACAATGAAAAAAATAAGACAAACTTACCGAGCGTTCATAAGAGTGGACATGTCCGGAAAACACAATATCAACCTTGTACTTAACAAACCAATGCTCAAACTGCACTCTCATGGTGTCACCTTCCATGTAATGGTAGTTGTTACTGTTGTACCATGGACAGTGCACAAGAACAAACAGCCATGGAGTCTCAGAACGGTTCACCTTTGGGAGTTCTTGCTCAAGCCAACTGTACTGTGGAGTATATTTACCTGCAAAATGTTTGGTTAATTATATTAATATTGATACAAATAATTGGAACAATCCTCGCCAAATTGATCTGCCAACTCTCAACAAGAGTGACCTATTTATGTTCTTAGTTTGAGCCAGCGAGTTTAATTTTGCTTGTAATCCCGAAGGAGCTTATTTATATTACTTACCATATGCAGAATAAGAGGAGAGGACAATTATGTAAGCTGATGCCCTTTTGATGGAGTACCAAAGAGGAGATGTGCTCTGAGATTCTGTGTAAGGCACATGAAACCTCTCCGTGAATGGCTTGAATGGAACAGGTTCACCCTGTATATAAACACGTACAACAACATTAGCAGGAGTGTATTGTGTATGTATATATGGCGTTTCAATATAATGATGATTTGAGGTTAGTAAGCGTTTGATCGAAAAGTACGAGATCAGGAGCATAGTCGAGTTCATGGTTGCCGGCGGTCCAAATCCAGGGCTGATACGCAGCGCTCTTCTCGATAAAGCGGCCCCACGTATCCCACTTCACATTGTTATGGTTAGGGTGGTTGTCGGCGTAAGAAAGATCGCCGATGAATAGCATCGCCTGACCCTTTGGATTCGCTAAGTAGTGTTCCAAAGTCTGGTTTGAAGCTTTTGTTTGCCCTAAATCCCCTGTTAGGGTTGTATATACACCAATTCAAAAACACAAACACTTTAGTAATTCACAATTAAGCCCGGCTGGAGTTCCGATCCATTGCTGAAAAATAATGAAAATACTAACCGATAATGCCGAAGGTGTAAGGAACATCAGGTCCTGGTTCGGGAGGCGTTGTGAAGGAGAATTGCCGATTAACATTTCCATTTCCAACTTCGTATTTGTAGGTCGTATTGAACTGCCAAAAACAGAGAGAATTGTTAGTATTAAAAATGGCAATTACAATGTTGAAGAGAAGAGATCGAAGAAAGAAAAATTAAACCTCCAAGTCTGTGATGACGGCGTGGTGAATATAGCCGGAAGTGTAAGTGTAGAATTTGTAAACGGAGCTGGAATAAGCAAAAGAGCTGCGGCGTTTGACGGGCGTCGCCGCCTCCTTGTCCTGCGATGACGCCTTCCAGTACCTGAGCCAATTAGGCTGTTTCTCTTCGGGCGTCACCCAGGAGATGATGACGCCACGCCCCTCGTGATCTCCCTGAGTGATATGAACCTGTTCCGGTGCATTGTAACCCTGCGGCGGAGGGAAACTTTCGACGGATAACTCTTCGGCGGGCTCACCTTTTCTGACGTAGGAGCTCGTGGTGCCTCCATTGCAGAGGCGCGGAGCTTCAAGGAAGAAGAGAGGGATCAAAAAGCACCACACTCTCCACATTTTCGATGTTGAGTTGAGTAGGGAGTAGGTAGTGTTCCGGTTCAGCTAGCGTATCGTATATATACTATATAGTGATGAGGGATGTAGTTAGTTGAGCATAACAGGGACTCGGGACTCCTATGGAATATTCAATATTCCTTTTCATTTTATTTTTCTTAGCTTTCATTTTTGGCATGTTGATTGTTGATATGATGGAGAAATTTCAAATTTTCAATTAAACATATTCTGCTCAAAGTTGGTTTCAACATAAAGTTCAATTAAGGTAGTTGATTTTGACTTAAATTCAATTATAAATTTTGAAACAGTAGCTATTCCTTTTAATTTTATTTTTCATCATCATTTTTGGCATGTTAATATTATGGGGGAAATTCAAATTTTCAATTGTAACACATTATGCTCATAGTTGGTTTCAACGTAAGTTTGACTGAAGTTGGATCGATTATGAAACAGTATAAACTATCGAATATTCCTTTTAATTTTATTTTTCATCATTTTTGACATGTTGATAACTTGATATTACAGGGAAATTCTTCAATTGTAACATATGCTCATAATTGGTTTTGACATAAGTTCAACTAAGATAATTGATTTTCACTTAAGTTCAATTATGAATTCTGAGACAGTACAAATCACCGAATATTCCTTTCAATTTTATTTTTCATCATTTATGAGAGAAATTCAAAATTTTAATTGTAACTCATTTTGCTCATAGTTGATTTCAACATAGATTCAACGTTTGCTCATAGTTGATTTCAACATAGATTCAACTTAAATAGTTGATTTCAATTTAAGTTCAACTAAGGTAGTTGATTTTGACACAAATTCAACTCAGATTTGACTGAATTAATTTATATATCGGTGTAAAAAATAATAACAACATTTGTAATTGAATAAACTAATTAACTCGATCTTTCTTGCCAAATGATCAAGTTGAGCTCGATAATGTTGTATCCTCTCTTTGTACTTCTAATAAAACATGACGTACAACAATGGTTGCAAGTAGGCTAATAATTGCAGATTTCCAGGTAGGCTTATAATTCAGTAACAGCTGAGGCAAAGCCTATTACATTCATAGTTAGAAGAAGGGTTTCCAGGATTCAAGAATTGAAAAAAAATAACAGCCAAATTAAAATTATTATGAGAGGTTAAGAATGAAATACAAGCAGTCAATCCAGGCTGCAAATGTATGTGGGGGGTGTGAGTTCCTGAGCCTCTATGAGGAAACAACAATACAGTAGTAGTTAAGCAAAGGGTCAAATCTCAAGAGCTTAGTGTACAGTGAGTACAAAAATGAATGGACAGTGTTACTGGAAAGATTAGGTTGCAAGAGGAAAAAAAAAATGCTCCAAAATTGATCACCACCCTTGAAATTAGCATGCACAACCACCTCTTTGCTCAGTATCTGAAATGGCCTCAGGAAGTCCCTGGAAGTATCTGGAAAGAAGGAAAACGAAGAAGATATCGGAATCCAATGTAAAGTTAGGAGCTTGAACATGAAACGCTAGTAAAATTTTATGACTAGTGCTGAGGAGCAAGATCAGTTACGACTTCGATAAAGGAATATAGAGCAAATTTAAGAAGACGAAAAATTATTGCAGATATAAGCATGCATTGTGCTTGTCAAAAGTATTCCCTAATAGGGAACATGTGAGTCACATCCAAGCAATTAGTCCCTCAATCCATATCAACTGCCTATTTTCAACCAAAGAACAGTGATGTAATAATAGAATTGAACCCAAGATAAAAGGGCAAGTGTGTAAAACATTACGGCATATCAAAAAGGAAAGTCTCATAAATGGAATGGAGTGACTGCTAAGTAATTTGGCTTTCGTAATATATACAAGGTATGATAAGATAATCTATGTCAAAATATAGGAAATAATAAATTAATGTCCCAAAACACAACACTCAAATTGCTGTACAAGCAAGTGGCTTGCACATGACATTAGCACGAGACCCACTCACATATCCAATAGCTCAGTGTTAGTAGATATAGTGATATACGATATAATTTGCATAAAGATTGAAATTACTTCCGCTATGATTTTAAGGAAAGAACTCAAATGAAGGTCAATGTCCTCATCAAATATACTGAAATATTCATATCTATTAACTCAAAAATATTCACAAAATTGTAACAGATAATAACGTCATCTCTTTAAAGAGCTTGTGTAAGATTTCATGCATGGTCTGAAATATTTATGGTAATATACAGCTCACAAGTCTTCCTCATGGCTATTCACAAATGACCTCCCCAATGAATTAGCAAGTTAAAAAAATCACCAAAACAAATGTAACACCAGTATACAGTTGAAAGTGCACCTTCAAAGTTCATATCCCAATTGCCAAAATCAGCTCTACAAGATATTGCATTAAAAATTTCCATTTTCTGGGAAAAACACCTATCAGAGGTTTTAAATTCACTTACAACCTATTATTTGTTGAATAACTATTATGCTGCCTGTATAGACACATTTTTTTTCCTCACAAGCAAAACAATATATTCTCCGTTGGTTTTGATAGTTCTACCTTTACCCAGTCCTCTAAGCTTTATGTGGGGTGAGCATACACAATAAAAGATGTTTCTCATCGCATCACAACGCACAGATATTTAACAATTTTGCAAATTCATAACAAAGTAACAAACACTTACATATCTTGCTCATGCTCATTGGCTAAAGCAGTTTTTGCAATACAAAAGAATGCAGCATCTACATTCAAATCCTCTTTTGCAGATGTCTCATAGTAAGGTATATTCCCTTTGGAAGTGCACCACTCCTGGGCTTTCTTTTCAGAAACCTGTGCAGAGATGATTAGTATTCTACTGTAATAACATTTCAAGAGCACATAAAATACAAAATCTTACCACTCGACTATTTCCACCATCTATATCGACCTTGTTTCCCAACAAAATAAAAGGAAATGTCTTCGGGTCAGATGGGTTAGCCTGCATATCAATTTGCTGAAAATTAATATAAAATGGACAACCCAAGCTAAAAATGGGAAGATGAAGTTTTTGTTAGTACTGCAACCACATGACAAGTGTGTACAAGTGAAGATCACATGATAAGTCAATCTGGCCAGTCAGCTTTGAAGTTGGAATTGGCAGATTCAAAGCAATATTTGGCACATGTTTTTAAAAAATTTCTAAGCCAATTGGCAATTATATGAGTCATCTACTTGTGCCTAGAAGTAGGTGAAGATCCTAATGTAGTTGGTATGATAAAAAAAGCAAGAAAAGGGTGCCATTCAGAGTGAAGTGAAGAAGATAAAGAGAGGGAGAGAGAGGAGTTCATGCCCAAAGGGCTTTTCTTGAGGTGTCTTTTATACCAGTGTTCTCTATTTATTCATGGTGTGACTGGGAGTGTCAAACACATAATGAGTTGTAAAATAAAGAAAGGGTAAATTGCAGACAGGTGAGTAATGAAGTCTCTATGTCTTGCACTTGTAAACTTGTCATCTTGATAGATGAATTTACTCTTGATGTGTTGTCTGTGATGCAGTCTAAGTTAGACAAGGTAAAATCCAATTTTCTCATTTCTAGGAATGTGTTTGTGGCCAAACACAATTAACTTTGTCAACGCATGAGAAACAGATTAATAATTTTTTATCGAGTATCAAATTATCAATGCCCTCAAATTTAAACCATCTTACAAGAAACCTTGAGAAGGCATCCTAAATGCTTCTCCCTATTCCATTCCCCCAGTCATATACATTACAACAAGACAAAAATATATGTATGCAATGAGCACTTATGCCTCAGAAAGAAGGACTAGCCAACCTGCTTGAGAAATTCTTCATGCCAATTGTCAAGGTTATCAAAAGATCGCATTACATTGACATCATAGACCTGAACACAGCAATCTGCCCCTCTGTAAAACGCAACTCCTAGACTCTGAAATCTCTCTTGCCCAGCCGTGTCCCAAATCTACAAAAATTCTCACAATGCAAACTTATCGAGCAAATAAATTGATCCACATCCACTCAAAACATGCAAACAGTGAAGTAACCGTTTCACAAAGCTAAAAACTCACTTGTAGAGTAATAAGCCGATCATCAATTAGGAGCTCCTTTGTTACAAAATCAGCACCAATCGTGGCTTTATACTGATGACTGAACCTCTTATGAACATATCTATAGATGCAGTTAAGGTCCCATATCTACCTAATCTTAAGTAGATGTCACACAACATCTCAACTACAAAAAATGCAATGGAAATAAAATAAATAAACCTCTAAATTTCCAACCAAATTCAAAACAAAACAAAAAAGTTCCGCATTAAATCTCATACTAACAAAGAACGCCAGATATAATTAATTAGAAACTAAAAGTTCAATTAAAAAAACTATGGAAAAGGATACTGATTCATCAATGAAGTTTTACCGACCCTGTAAAAATGCAATAAGGTAGATTAATTTTTATAACATAAAAGCTAACGCCATTACCCCAGGAGGCCAGGATCAGAAATAGAACAATAGTAAAAATCAAAAGAAAAAGCATACCCACTATCGCCGAGGACGATGACCTTAAGCAATGTTCTTCTACGCGCCGACATGACGACGTTAACTGAGCAAAGCTCCTTTGTGTTTTTCCGGCTTCCAAATCTGGGTCAAAATTGCTCGGAGAAATTTTGGGGATTGGATGCTTACAGGGAATCACGACAGGAAAGCAAGGGGCGCCAATTTCGATCTTCCTCAATTTTAATCAATATTTCGGTCGTGTGGCCGACGAACCCAAAGCCGGCCATTTTACCTTCTTTATTTTTAAAAAATTATTTTTATTAATGCTAACCTATATGGGTTTGTTTATGTATAAACAGCAAGACATGATTCACGCTGCGAATTTTAAAATAAAATTTTAATTTCGTCAGACTAATAAAATTAAATTTATGGGAAAGAGCCTTCAAAAAAAAAAAAAAGATAATTACGGGAAAGGGCACAAAGCCAATTATCAAATTTGCACGGCTGTAGAATCGCAATCTTAGTCAAGTTAGTCATATTTTTAACTTGATAATTATAAAATTAGTAGTTCGACTTTCCACAATAATGGTCTATTAACCTTTTTTATTTAAACTAGTTAATTATAAATAATCGGTCTATTGACTTTTTTATTTGAAGTAGTTAGTTATAAAAAATTTAAACTGATTTACCTCATTGTGACTGGCAAATTCAATGCACACTCTCGGGGAGTTATATGCCACAACAGACACAAACTGTTCAATTTAATTACAAATATGTCACCGCATCACTTTACGTGCGTCTATTTTTTGTCACGACAAACGCAAATTGTTCAATTTTTATGTTCTTTTTTGTACTATGTACTATATGTAAACTCAATCTTTAATTTATGAAATAAATCATGGATAATATTATACCAAGCTTATAAATAATTCACATGTTTAATTTAAAAAGAGAAATTAGTTCAATTGATATATATGTACTAAGGGTTGATGATGACATGATGTTAGACAGGTGGATTGAAGTGTTTGGACCATAAACAAGTCCACATTTAGTTGGTAAGAAAAGTAAAATCAGAAAGAGATAGAAGTAGTAGTGGTTAAATAATACTGTAATACACAAACAAGGTAGAAGAGATAGAAGTGGTAGTGGTTAAATACATACATACACAAGTAGTCATTTCCAGGTTTCCTATATATATATATATATATATATATATATATATATATATATATATATATATATATATATATATATATATATATATATATATGTATAAACAGAGAATTACGTAGAGAAGCATAGTCTCTAGCTTAGCTTCCATGGCTCAGTCTTAGCTACCTCCATCAATAAGGCTGTAGTGAAGCTGGTGGGAGAGAGAGGCCATTGCTTGCAAGAGTTGCAGGCATTCCTTGATAGTATATTACATATAAATTTTCGTGGTTGTGTACCCCTTCGTACGTCGTTATCAAATATTTTGCATCATCTTGGTCTCTTTCCACCTTCTTTTTCACCTTACATCCTCCACTCGAACACTTGTAGTAGTTCCTATTTTCACACGGTAAATTAAACTTTTAGTCAGCGAGATATACCAAACAACTGACTTTTTATAAATATATATGTATATATATATATATATATAAGTCATCATCAAATAATATTCAAATATTATACCATTGATGATGGTGGTGATAATTTAATTTCATGAAATAATATAATAGATGAAGCTGTTTTAGTTTATCCATTATCTATTAGCTGCAAGAAAGCATGTCACTTGGTTATAAACTTATAATTTCTAGTGGCTTAATAGAAGCAAGAATATATGCTCAATATATATTATGCATGGAAATTACTATATGATTGTGCAGTGAAGTTACAAAAGAATATATATATATATATATATATATATATATATATATATATATATATATATATATATATAGAATAAAATCTCATACATGGTAAATTTTGAATTAGATATAACGTAACTATTTAATTATGAAAAAGATATATACTCTCTTTTGTACGTACTAAATATAATGAAAAATTTTAAAAAGAATGAGATAGATTAATACATTATACATGAAAATGGAAAAAAATTTCAGACCTATTCCAACATTGCATGAACTACAAGATTTTAAACTATCTGTCTATCTCCACAAAACTACTTGAGACACTACATAATCATATAAAAATTTTCATTTGCATGATGATACTGCTTATTAGCTTAAAGCAAGATAATCCACAGCATGCATGGTTTAGCAGGTAGATAGTTGATTAATTCAATATAGTTAGATTATATCATCATCATCTTGGAGAATAAAGAATCATCAGATTTAATACTGATTTAGTTGTGTTATTATTACCACAATAATTGAATGAATTGAAACTAATCAAAGATGACAGCTCTAAGAAAAAGAAAGAATTAAGTTTCATATATACATATACTTAGCTTGTCAACCATTAACCATCCACTTGCATCATGAGGATGTATATATATATATGTTCTGGGATTAACATGTAGAAGACAATGGCTACCTACTTCAAGGGACATCTCTATAATAATTAATGGCCACATGTAGCTTAAACAACAGTTTTCGATTGTACAACAATTGAAATATATAATACTGTGATTTTCAAAACTAAATTGTCTTTTCTGAGGTTAATTGTCTTGTTTATGCAAGAGGGTTGCTTTTTATTTGCATGTGGAATTAAATTAGTTTTATTTGTGTCTTTTCACTCTTTTCTTCCCCCACAAGTTAAATGATCTGATGTATGTTGTTAAGTCTGATCATCTGATTATGTTAATTACTAAAATAAAGAAATCATATTGATCTGATGAGGTTTTGAACAGCTTTTGAACATCCAGAATGAAGTAAAACATATATACTTACTATGTAAGATATATATACTATATGTATTGTTTATATCAAATAATGCATATATATAGATAGGGCAACCCAGCCAAGTTAGTCAGACTCAACCTTCTCGACAGGGTCACAATGTGAAATTTGCCTAGTAACCCAGATTTCACTCTTCATTCAAAAAAAAAAAAAAAAAAAAAAAAAAAAAAAAAAACAATGCATATGTAGACAGTTCATCTTCGATTAGTTCTGAGTTATTTACCTTGGATAAGAGTTACTTTTGACCTTCTTCTTCCCATATTTCCTCCATTTATATCCATCATCCAATACCTCAAGATCAGTCCTTGTTCTAAAGGCAATCGCATGTTTCTCCTTCATCTTTGGCCCTTTCTTCATCTCCCTTTTGCACTTCCTGCAAAATATTGGGAAAAAAAACCATCAAAATCATAATTAATTAAAGAAACCCAGAAAACTAAATGGAACTGGGTCTGATCTTGGGGACTAACATTACTGGCATATAATTGGTATTCATTGGCATTCCATCAGATGAGCAGCTTGAGCTTCCAGTGGTGGAATTATTGCTTTTCTCAGGCAAGACAACAGGAGTAGTTTGCGACAGATCAGATGATGGGTACCCAAAGGTATTATCATTAGATGATGTAAAATCATCAGAAAAAAGATTATGATCATCATCAGCACAGAACAAATCTAAATCTTGATAACAGTAATCATAATCTGGGATTATGTTTGAGGAAAAAGGAGCAGTGAAATTAAGATTAGGGTTTGGTTCAAGAAAAGTAGGGGCAGACATGGTCTGAGAATTGAAGATGAGAGAGAGAGAGAGAGAGAGTAAGCTACTGAATTAAGAAAGCTTATCAGATCAGGAAGAAGACTGAAAGAAAAGCAGCGAAGACTTTGGGTATTGAGAAGAGAAAAAAGTGAGAGCATACTACAATATAATGTTGTGCTTGCTAGCTAGCTTCAATTGGCCTTTTCATTATAAATATATATATATATATATTGAGGCATATATATATATCCATTTATATAAAAAAAATAATGCTTGCTTCATTTTCTAAGACAGCTTCCTCAGCAACTTCCTTGAACAATCTGCGGAGTTGCTAAAAACCCTAGCGCTGCTGCCTACGTGTTATTCCTTATGTCATGTTATGACGATATATATCATTTACCGGACTGCAGTATTCAATTATGGGTTGATAACTCCTTGCAATTTTTTACCAGGGCTTCCATCGTTCAAAACAAATTTTAACATAGCAACTATACGTATTTTCCCATAAATCAAAGAATTTTTAATTAACAAACAATAATATATATATATATATATATATATATATATATATATATATATATGGAGTGGGTAAATTACGAAATGTGCAAATTAGTATGGGTGTGTGCAGAAAAGGGGTGGCATATGCGGTGTATAGTTGGGGAGGTACATGCACAATTGTATAATCTAGCGTGTGTGTTACAAAAATACAAATATAGTTTAATGGGATCATACACATTATTAGGTAAAACATATAATATAACTTAACTATATCAAACACATGCATGTAACAACGTTATTTACAACACTATAAAATATTTTAACAAATATAATTTTATATACCCGTCCACAATGCTATATAATCTTACGTACTACTAGCTACATCAGTCTCATTTTTATAAGGGATATAGTTATGTATGTAGGGTATGTATTACAATTTTTAATAAAACAAATCAGGTTCATATGATTTTGTTTTCCAAATTTATCCTTCAAAAGAAAAAGGTAAATTAGGACTCACATATAAAAAGTTAAAAGCAATAAATGGTAAATTAGAAAAAAAATAAAAAGTTAATGACAATTAAATTTGGAAATTGAATATTATTTTGGCACTTGGAAATGATGGTGTATATAATAGAGGATATATTAGTAAACTATATACTATTAAGCCTTATTTAGTAGAGGCGGTGTTGACTTTTTGTGCTTCAACAGGTTGAAAAAGTATAGATAAACAGATACTACAATGTAATAAAAAGGTAAATTGTACGTACTATAACCTTTTAGTATAAGAATTATGTATCAGTGGGTCACTCATTTCCCGTGATGAGTAAAAAACATGAGAAAGAATTGAGTCATAGAATTCTGTTTGAGAATAATAAGTTCTTTTTGTCGAGAGAAAGCATGCCATTAACACCTCGTAAACCATGAAAGTAGTAGAATAATGTACACAACTTTAATTCAGTAGTGGAGGAACATAGGAGATACTAATGATATAAATAATGAACGGACTAAATTTGTGGGAGAATCGAATATTAAAAATTGAAGTTCAAAAGTTAAAAACTTTAGGATTTTGGTTCTGTTTTCAGATTCTGATGGATGAAGAATAGTACAAGGTGGAAGTTACATGGCAGTGAGTGATGAAAGGAATGCCAATTTTGCACGCCGCCACGAGCCCAAGAACCTGCTGCCCACCTCATGGGATGGCGACCATGACCTTTATTATTTGCCATTTTCACCTTTTTGAAAACCAAAATTTAGTCAAATTCATAAATTTGGTTGAGATTTCTATAACATGAAACTGAAAAAAAAAAAAAAAAAAAAAAAAACATCAAACATATCTCTGTAATATAAAATTCAATGATCTATTCAACACTTTTTTTTGTATAAAAATTTAAAATTTTTAGTATAAAATAAAGAATTTTAATGAATCTCTACCTAGTATCTAATAAAACCATATGGTAAAGGATTTTAAAAAAATTAAAAATTGATTTCAGTTTTACCAATCAACTTTTTGGTGTTGTCTTCGCAGCCTGTCTGTTTAACGTTTATCGCATTTATTTTTGTGTATTTATTTATTTGATTGCATGGCATATTTAATTTAAGAAATTTCGAAGCAGTTGGGGGAGGAGAATCCTCCATCGCCCAAGATTTGACTGGTGGTATGCCACATTGCCAATTACAACTCCCACCACTCATTTGGCTGATTAGCATCTGTCATTATCTTCTCTCTCTCTTTTTTTTTTGGGAGTCTAGAATTTTAATATTTAAAATTTTAAATGTGGGAAATTTTGATATAAGTTGGTATGTTAGTGATTAGTTTGAGTTATTCCGTATTACTTTTTGAGTGGAATTTATTAACGATGTGGGTTGTGTCCGAATGAATTCTAATTCTGATTTTTTTTAAGTGTGGATATGATTTTAATATATTTATATACTCAAAATTATTAATAAAATGAACGATAAATTAATTCTAGAAATGTGTCATAAATTTCAAAATAGACTTTGAAGCTCACCTTATTTTACATTGGTAGAGAATGTATGTCAATGTGAAATTATGAAGAGTTAATACCAACCAAGTGGCTTGTGGCCAATTGGTATCTGATTGTTCACTGAGTGAGAGGTGAAAGGTTCAAACCCCAAAATAAAGAGTTAATACCACAAATGGTCATCTAACTACTGGACTAATCCTCGATTCTTAAGTCAACTAAAATATGTATCTTGACTTTTATTTTTTACCACAAATAATTATCCGTTAAGATTTATGTTAAATATAATGTATTATTGTCAAATTAATTAATATGATTATAATTATCTCTTTTAGAAAATTATGTAGGTTAATTTAATATGATTATCTCTTTTAGAGAATTATATGGCAACATATATAATTAATTATAAATAATAATAAAATTTAAGTTAATAAATATAAAAATCATATTGTAAAATGTAAAGTAAAATTATTATAAATATATAAATTATTTTCATATTGTTAAGCTAAATATTATTATTCTTATATTAAAATCTTTAAATGACACTTTCATCTTAAATTTACTTTATAATATTCATCTCTTTATATGATAATATTTGATTAGATATTATTTGTATTTCATTATTGAGTGGATTTCTTTTTTAATTTGTGGTAAGATCGACAAATTAATGAACAATCAAAGTATATAAAGAGTTTTATTATCACTCAAGAGGTGAGCCGTGAACAATATATATAATTAAGGTGATAGAATTTAGGAGGGAAAAATAACATATATAATATAGAAATAAGAGTTAGTCATATAAAGTTAATTTATAGATTATAGATATATAAAGTATTTATAACTTTATAGATTATAGATATATAAAGTATTTATTTTTTATATATAGTTAATATGAGATCACATTTTTATTTTATTATTACGATTTATGAGAGAGAATTATTTTTTAATATTGTCAAAATACATTAATTTTTTAATTTTCAAAAAGTCATCATCTACTACCCAATGATGTGCTCTGGGTGAAACCCACCTTGCGACGACCTAGAAGGCAAAAGACTACAATGAAGTAATTAAGTCGGCCTATGTAGGTTGCTCATAGCTTATCGGCTCAAACTAATTAAGAAGACCAATATGCAGCTTTTATCGAAAATCAAGCTTTAAAGCTTATGGTCATCAAGTCAATTATCTTACCAACTCAGTTAGGGGTTTTTCCAAAATGCATTTACGAAGTGTTTAACAATCAAAGTACGTGTTTTGGTCGAATTGAAAGTTGATAACTAAAAAGATTACTAGTTCAATATTCAAAGAATAATTTATGATATTAACTCAATTATGAACTAATATATGAATATTTTCACTTTTTAGTAAGTATGAAATATGTTATTCGAAAAAAGTTTCAAGTTTTCTTGTGCACACATACAATGTACAAATCAAGGTCAAAGGATGCTAGATATTTTTGTAGATTTTTTGCACAGATCTCATCATGTTAATGCAAACTAGCTTCTAAAAACTCCATCTCAAATGGGATTTGACTTCTTGGGAGAAGAATTGGTTCTCTATAAAATTAAATATTTTTCAGTAATAAATTTATAATATGAGAATAAAAAATAATTTCAAAAAAATTGAGTATGGTAAGTGCGTCAAGCATGATTTTTGTATGAGAAAGACTTCGAGTTTGATTCTTATCAATACTCTTTTAATCGAACTTATTTCATCGGGCCTTTCTAGTGCGGCTTACCTTTCATGTGTGGACCTAATGCACATGGTTTCTTTATTCACCCAATAAATACGGCTATGCATTAATCTCTTTTATGTACCATAAAGTCCAGTTTCAACCATTTTATATATATCATGAATCTCAAGATTCATGTTGAGCATATAATATATAGTGCAATCCAACTATCAGTTTAAGCTTTTAGTTAAAATGGAGCACATGCTTTTCAAAATATATGTTATGACCCATAATTCATTCGGAAGGAATCAAACTCCTTCCATTTCAATGCGAAACCAATTCTTCCATTTCAATGCGAAACCAATTTAATGGAGGGTCTAATTTGGAAAATAAAAAATGGTGGACTAGATAGTATGAATACAAGTAAAATATAATTCAACAGCTAACTTTAGGGAACAGTGGTTTTGTACTTTTCTGAGTGCTTTCTTCTTAATTATAAGATGGCGACTGGAAATAGATGCATCTGCATCATACACATATACAACATTTACTGCTAAAAATTAAAATATAGTCAATGCAAATTAATGGCGTGACAATTCATCAATCCACACTATAATCTTGACATGTCTGCGAATGCGACCAGTCCTTATCACGTGCAATAAGTTGAACCACGTACACTATGGTGTCTAATATGGCGACATTTATATTTATAATGAGAAAAAAAAAACAGTCAATTTATTTACAATGGATAAATTGATATAAATTTCCGGTGCCAATTGAATTGTTGGAGTTATTATCTGGGTGTCGGTTGAATTGTTTCAATAAAATAAAAATACGAGTTGATAAAAAAACATTTGGGTTGAAGAATATGGATTACTCAAGATTGAGGCATAGAGATTATTCCCCGACCAGCTAGATTGTCTTAGTTGATTGAGGCTTTGAAAAGATTAGGAAAATACAGATTGAACATAGTCAATTATTTTTGTGTACAAAATCTGGTAACTTCAACCTACAAAATTGCACTCGAAAAGTTTGGCTCTATTTCTTAAAGTAAAACTTAGC